CTCTTTTTCTTATTCATCCATTGCTCATGGGGCTCACATGCCAGCCCAGCAATTAAGTGTCCATCGCTAACTGCCCTTCAAATGGTAGTGGTGAGCTACCCGCTTGATTTTCTGCCATCATGTGCTGTTGGTACACTCTGCGTTGTTAGGGAGGGAACTCCAGGACATGAAAAAGTCGTAATATAGTTTCAAGTCACGATATTTGTGACTTAGAGGGAACTTTCAGGTGGTGATGTTTCCATACGTTTGCTGTACTTGTTCTTTCAGATAGTAAAGATTTCAGGTAGTAGCAGATAAGTCCATGAAACAATCCAGTCAGTTCTACTCCCCTGAGTCTCTGTGGTCCTACAAGTCTATTTTCTTCAAATGCCAATGCAATTTCTTTTGGAATCATCATTGTTTTTGCAACCAACGTCCTTGTGGGCTCAGCTCTGGGAACTTGTAGCTACACTATTGATATGGGTGGTCCTGTTAGGTTTCTGGTAGTGGCACCAGTGTTGATGGCTGGGGAATTTAATGATAGGTATGCTATTGGGGCACCATGGAGAAGGTTATTTTTCTCTTGAAGATGGTAATTGCCTAGCACTTGTGGTATGAATATTGCTTGTACTAACTATTAGGCTGCACTTTATGGTAAAACCCACTGACCGAGTAAGGCTGAGGGTACAAAATCCAGTGAGTGGCCTTCTTGCTGACTATACAAACCCCCATCCATTTCCAGGTCATCTGATTCCCTTTACTCTTCCCTGGTTTCCCTAAATCTGGGCTTTGCTGCACCTCTTCCTAGGCCAATACATCATTCCAGATGTATAATGCCCAGAACTCAATGCAGTACTCCAAATCAAGTCTGACCAATTTTTTATATCAGTCATGGAACTTCCATCTCTTTATATTTCAGTCCCCTAAAGACAAAGGCTAACATTTCATTAATCTTTTAAATTAATTTCTCTACTCAAGAGCTCCAAATTTTTCTGTTCCTCTTCAAGATAATATGCCACTGTAGTCTTGTTTGCAGAGTCTTTTGCTTTTGTTGTTCAATATTAACAATTGATTTATTTTCCCCCAATATATTCACAGGTGTGGCTGTCACTGGCTATGCTATCATTTATTGCCCATGAGAAAATAATGATAGGACGACTTCTTGAACTGCTGCAGTTTGAGGGAGAGGTACACCCATTGCTGTTCAGAAAGGATAATCCAGGACTTTGACTCAGTGAGCTTTTGAAGGAATTGGATTGCAGGAGTACATCTGCTGATGAAGCACACTGCTGCCACTGTGTAAGCATGCTAAGTGGACATTAAAGGTCATAGACGGGGTTCCAATCAAGCACCCATTTTGGTTTGCTTTGTCCTAGATGGTGTTGAGTTTCTTAGGAGTTGCTGGAGCTGCATTTATTTAGGAAAGCAGAGTTGCCCATCATATTCCTGACTTGTGCCTTGTCGATGGTGGACATGCTTTGCAGAGTCAGGAGGAGAGTTAGTGCAGGATTCCAAGCTACTGACTTGTCTTTGTAACCATAGTGTTCATAAGTCTGGTCAAGTTCAGTTTCTGATTATCATCACAGATCTGCGAGCATCACTACCATTAATGTCATTGACCGTCAAGGGGAGATGTTTAAATTCTCTTGCTGCAGCTGGTCATTGCCTGACACTTGTGATGCTGATCATACCACTGAAGCAGTTTACATGTCTAATTTTCATATTCCTCAAACTAATTCTCTAAGATTTCAGGCAATGTTTTGTTGTCAAAGACCACAAAAAGATAGGACTGTATAATTCATTATGGTAGTACTGGAAGACAATTGTTTAATTTTAACTGTTGAAAAATACTGTAATTAATTAATTATGATTAATGCTGTGATTAATTATGAAACAATTATGATATGTTTGTTTCCACAGTTGAATCATTGATCTGCATGAAAATCTTCCCTTTTTTTTTAAGGTGACATTCCAGTGTAATTTACCCTTAATCCACCCTCAATTGCAAAATTGTTATAAGTATTAATTGAAAGATCCATTGATGCTGCAGCAAAAGAAAGCACGTAGAAAGATGCTGATCATACCAGGCAAAGTCCTCTTTCAAAAATGGTTAGGTTGTGCAATGTTGAATGAGGAATTACAGTTTAAAATCAGTAGATTTAGCTCATGGCATATTGTCAACTTCAAACAACAACACATTAAGTTTGAAGTGCAAAATGCTTAACAGACAATACAACACAGTTTAATAATTTTAATTTTTAAATAAATTTATTGTTTCAGTCTTTCTAAAACATCAATTTAATATTCACCCTTTGGCCTCCTGAGAAATAATTTAAATGGATAAAATGTAGATTGGCTCTAATAAATCACAGGTTAATCCATAGCAAGATGCTGTTTGAGATCACTGTTCTGTGGTTTAATCAGAATTCCTGCTTTCCAACATGAACTTTGATTAGATTGTCTGCACAGGATGAGATCAAAGCTACTGTAACAAAGCGGTTCAGTACTGAGAAATGAGCTTTATCTCATACTCAAACAAAATGATTATCATTCTCACTTGGAGACATTTAATATAGCTGGATTGTCATGATAATAAAATACAGATTATTAATCTAAAATGTTAATCAATTAACTGTGAACTTCAGGGTGAGAGAAAAACATTTAGAAATCAGCTCAGATACTTTAAAACAGTTGCCACAGTCACCTAGAATCATAGAATCCATACAGTGTAGAAACAGGCCCTTTGCCCCAACAAGTCCACACCGACCCTCAGAGCACCTACCCAAACCCATTCACCTATAACCCACACATCCCTGAACATTACGGGCAATTTGGCATGGCCAATCCACCTAGCCTGCACATCTTTGGACTGTGGGAGGAAACCCACGCAGACACGGGGAGAATGTGCAAACTCCAAACAGACAGTCGCCCGAGGCTGGAATTGAACCCGGGTCCCTGGTGCTGTGAGGCAGCAGTGCTAACTACTGTGCCACTGTGCCGCCCACCTGACCCGAAGTTAACCAAGTTTAATGGAAGATACAAAGGAATTTCTAATAACTGGGCCTAATTACCACACTTGAAAAGTCTACACAAAAGGTAATTATCTGCACATGAAAATTAATCATTTAGAATGTATAATTCACAACAAGACCTTTAAGCGTCTCTGCATGGGTGAGACTTCTTTACTAAAGGTATTACTGGAACAAAGACTTAATTCAAAAGTTCATTATGCAAAGAGGAAAACTGAACTCCTGTATCAATAATAAGAGAAACAGGGAAACTCTGAAAGTGGACTGTCAAACCTCTTTGTTGTAATGGAATAATAGCCAGGTTTTCATCCTTTGAAACCTATCACTATCTCGGGAAGACATTGACATGATGGCTGTCACAGACAGACTATCCGAATGGACTTCTTGGAAATAAACACAAGAACTGGCATTTCAAAGGCTTTCAGAACAGTTTGGTTGATAATTGAAGAGAAGCTGCTGCCTCCATTTTCTCTCTCTCTGAAGTTGGCATCAATTACAAAATATTACTGTTTCAATGACTGTTATATCAAGGAACAAAGAATTTTCAGCAATTAGAACAATTGCTATGACTTACTACATCCAGGAAATCAGCTCTTAACAATCAACTTCAGGTTAAAACCTTTTGTCTCAGGGACACACAAAGAACTCTAAACCGTATCAGAGATAGTAGGAACTGCAGATGCTGCAGAATCCGAGACAACAAGGTGCAGGGCTGGATGAACACAGCAGGCCAAGCAGCATCATAGGAGCAGAAAGGCTGACGTTTCGGGCCTAGACCCTTCATCAGAAAAGGGGGAGGGGAAGGGGGTTCTGAAATAAATGGGGAGAGAGTGGGAGGCGGATAGAAGATGGATAGTTGCAGTGGGAGAGAGATCCCCTGAGGTTTGTCCGGAGGGAGGAGGGTAACTTCTTCAGGTTAGGCATCCTTAGAAGAGGCTTCGCAGTGGGGTTAAAATTGAATCAGAGATAGTAGGAACTGCAGATGCTGGAGCCTAACCTGAACAAGTTACCCTCCTCCCTCCAGACAAACCTCAGGGGATCTCTCTCCCACTCTAAACCGTATAGTCTTTTATCTTCCTTTGTGGTTGACACTATTCCCCTTAAACTTTGAAACAGGGGGCCCAGAGTAATTTTATTATTTTCCTCTGCTTTAACAGTCAGTTAATAAATCTATTCTTTCCTTGGCTCAAGGAAGCCTCATTAATTGGATCCTTATTGCTCACAGCAAAAAGTATTTCTCTTTAATTACAGAGGGATATGGCTTTGTGCAAAAAGTATATAAACTTCTGTTGTGGTCAGTGGGAGAGGTTGAACAGGGGAGCCAGTTTACCCCTTCTCACCTGGTTGTAACAGGATACTCAGTCCATGTTTCAGCTCTATTTACTGATCCCTTTTCCTTGAATTTTTCACCTCACAATTGATCATTCTGTACTTGCACTCTGTTTCTGATTTACCATTCCTCAGCTAAAACCCTGTCCCCAGAATCCCTCAGCTATGAACAAAGCCATATTCCCTTTGTTTAACCTCAGTTAATATACATGCCAAGGCAAGTAAAAGAACACAATTTAACGAGGTACAAAGTAAACTAGTCAAATTACCTTAATTCAAGAACAGTGTAGCCATTCCTCAATCCAAAAATACTTCCAATAAATTCATTTCTCATATGCTGAATCTCAACATTTGTAGTTTTGCAGAATCATCACAGAATCCCTACAGTGTGGAAACAGGCCAATTGGCCTAACAAATGCACACTGCCCCTCCCAACAGCATCCCAACCAGACCCATCCCCCTTGCCTTTCCCTGTAGTCCTGCATTTCCCATGGCTAATCCATTTAACTTACACACCCCAGGACACTACGGGCAATTTAGCATGGCAATCCACCTAACCTGCACATCTTTGGACTGTGGGAGGAAACTGGAGCACCCAGAGGAAACGCATGCAGACACGGGAAGAATGTGCAAACTCCACAGGCAGTTGCCTGAGGGTGGAATCAAACCCAGGTCCCTGGAGCTGAGAAGCAGCAGTGCTGACCACTGAGCCACTGTGTCGCCCCTAATCAATTAGAAACCAATAGTCTCCTATTCCAAGAGATGTGCAGCCATATTTCTGTTGCAGACATTCACAGATCCCTACCTCCAATTCTTTTCTGAAGTCACTTCTCCTTTCACATATGAAATACTTTTCCAATCATGACATGGAGATTTGCCTACAGAGAACTGCCCCAATGTCCGTTTGTGGTCCACAACCACAATCCCCTGGAGAGCTTTGTAGCCCTTCTCCACTACTGCTGAAAAAATGTTAAGATCTTTTTCTCTTCTCAGAACTGCAGCTCCTTCAAGTACACATCCTTGGGGTTATACTCTGGTCTTCAAAGGAAGAAAGAGTTGTTGTCCCACTAGAGATTAGTACCCCTCCTCCTCAGATCAGCAGCCTTCTGTCTCCATTTAAAAATGAACCAATTTCTGCCATGCTGTCCTCCTTTTTTAAACTCTAAAAGCAGGAAGATTTATTACATTTTCATGTTTACCAAGAGGAGAGGACTTATTTTAAGCAGTTTGAAGGAAAAATTATGAACAGCTTAAGGGAAGCATACTGACAAAAATTTAATCAAAGGAACAGGATCAGGCTATTCAGCTCCTTTGTTTTCCATTACTTTGTTAGATCATACTTGATCCGTACCTCACCTCTATTTTTTCTCAACCTTTTGATATACTGACATAACAAAAATATATTGAGCTCAGTTTTGAAAATGTCAATAATCCCACTATCCACAGCCTTTAAGTAGTTCCAGATTTCACTGTCTTTGTATAAAATGTTCTTTCTGATGTTACTCCTAAGTGGGATACCTCCAAGTTTAAGATTATGCACTCTTATTCTGTATTCCTCAGTCAAGAATGGTTTCTTCATAGCTACCCCTATCCTTGTCAGGTTACCACTTAACCTTCTAAAGTCAAGGCAGCTTGTCTTCAATTTAACCCTCTAAATCCCAGCATTATTCTGGTGAATTTATGCCAAATTCCCCTCCTAAACCAAAGTATCCTTCCTGAGGTATGATGTTTAAAACTCTTTGCAATGCTCCATGTGGGGCCTTGTCAATGTTGTGCATAACTGAAGCAGCATTGCTTTCCCTTATTTGTACTGCACGTCCTTTGAATGAGGTTCAATATTTCATTGTCAATTATGATTTGTACCAGTGGACCAGTTTTTTAAACGGATAAGAAAATATCCAACTCAATGTAGCATTTTTCCTACCTTCTGAATTAATTTGGGCCCCAACCATAATGACTGCTTGAAGTCTAGATATCCCTTCATCATCCAATGGGCCAACCTTATCATTATTCTGGACTTACAGAAACCCCACAAAAATGAGGATTTAAACATTCTAAACATCAGAGCTATATCAAGGCAAATAAAATTGGATGGTCTCTCCAAGGATATAGATTCAAGCTCAGAGATGCAGGCACCAACTTAGCCAGTCCAAATCTGATATTTCCTGAGGCAAGATGTATGGCCTTGTGGAGTCACTTCTTGCATCATTACCTGGGATCTTGAAGCCAGTTACCTGTTGCAGCAAGACCTATGGCAATGGAACTAAATGGACGATACTGAACCTCCCACATCTGAAGTGGTATAGCAACTAGGTGAAGAAAAATGAACACAAATGGTTAACCAAAAACTCCAATAATACCTTCATTCTTTATTTTTCAAGGATAGCTTATCGTTCATTGCTCTCCAGTGACATGACATTAAACAGACCAGGTTCAAGTGACAAGCATTCCGTTGTGTTCTCATCCCCTCAACACAAATGCATTTGAGTACCAAAGCTGATGTTTCCTTTCAGAGCTCAGTAGCACATAGTCTAACTGGTTCGCATCAACTACTACCCTAGTTAATATCAGCAAACACAGATCAAAGATCAGACCTGAGACTTCCTTGACTCACTAAGCCTAAAAGAGTGTCAGGCCATGTAACTGATCACAATATGCATAAATCAAGATTTACCAGTTCAATAAATCCTATAGTTCCAATGTTCTTTACAAACCATATGTATCTGTAGAACAGAGTGATAACCAGTCATAACATGGCAATAAAGAGCAACATTCATTCTCAAATTGCAGTATTAAAAACAAATGGAAAATTCTTGAAGGTGGTTATAAAAGACAAAACCATAAAGGCTAATCTGTGTGTTCTGGTCTGTTGGTATTATACCATCTTCAGGCCATGAGAAAGAAATATTGGAACAGGAGTAGGCCATTCAACCCACTGAGCCTGCCCCACCATTCAAAATGATTGTGGTTGATTAAACACTTCAGTGCCTTTTACTGACCCCATCCTCATAACCTCGTAATCAGAAATCTATCAAATCAATCTCAACACATATTGAGTCTCCACATCCCTCTGTGGTAGAGGATTCCAAAGGTTCACAACTTGCCGAGTAAAATAATTAAAGGAGTTTGAGGAAGAAGTGCTGAATCAAGCTATAATGGTGAGGGCTGACTGGCCAGTAATATTATCATCACTAAAACATTGTTGTGCCACTGGCCAAAAGCTGCATGTAGTGAATGGCCCACACTGTCACCTGTAGCTTTAGGTCAGGTTTAGCTGGTGTTAGCAAGTGCTTCAGTATACACCAACAGAACATACAGTCACAGAGTCCTACAGACTGGAGACAGGCCCTTCGGCCCAAATGGGTCCATGCCGAACAAAACATTAATCTACGCTAACCCCATTTCCTCGCACTTGGCCCATATGTCCTTCTAACCTTTCCTCTCCATGCATTCGTCCATGCCTTTTAAATGTTGGTAATGTACCCACCTCAACCACTTCCACTGGCAGTTCGTTCCAATGCATGTTACGCTCCGTGTAAAAATGATGCCCCCTCAGGTTGCCATGTATTCTTTCCCCTCTTACCTTAAACTGATGCCCTCTAGTCCTCAATTCCTCAACCCTGGGGAAAAAAGACTGAGTGCATTCACCCTATCCATACCTCTCATGATCTTATACACCTCTATGAGATCCCCCCTCTCTGTCTCCTATACTCTAAAGAAAACAGTCCTAGCTTGTCCAACTTCTCCCTTTAACTCAGTCCCTTGAGTCCTGGCAACATCCTTGTACATTTCTTCTGCACTCTTTCCAATTTAAATATATCCTTCCTATAGCAAGGTAATGAAAACTGAACACTATACTCCAAATGCAGCCTCACCAACCACACTATAAGTGTTCTGTTGATGTAGAGTAGGAATCTGAACTATACATGTAATAACAAAGAAATATTTGTCCAGCAGAACCATTCTGCATACCTATCTCTCCAGGAGAGAGCTTCAAGGTATAATGGGTGCATTTGCTTGCACATACGTCCTTGGGTAAGAGTTGAACTTCAAAGATTCCCTGTAGCTGAGCGATCCACATCAACAAGTCCCCATCATGATCTTTCACCTGTGCAAAAACAAGAACAGTCTTCTCAGCTTTTCTCTTCATTTGTAGTTAATGCACATGGCTGCTGCAGTTACCAGAACAATGATTTCACAACTATCAACATCAAATAAATATCCAGTACATAATTATCTAACCAAGGTCTGAAAACAGTTGTAGGATTGATTGTGCAAATGCAATCCAGAAACAAAACATACAAAAAAAAGGAAGTTTCTGGCCCTTCAATACTCACAACTACACTAAAACATGGACTAATTGTTCATATTCTTATCCAACTAAAGCATATGTTATATCACCTTGACAAATGTGTCCTCTACAGCGCCATTCTCTTCTTGCGATGCCATCAGCAACCAGTTGGACTCTGCCAGTTCCACTACCGGAGGAAGGAAGTAGGGTCGGTGATAAAACGCACGGATTACCTTTGCAGCTGCTTTGTTGCAATTCTTCCTGTGCAGAAATAATTCTTATCTACAGTCGCCATTCAAAGATTGAACATTATAGCTGAAACTCACTCCAAACAGCTTCTTAGCCAACACAAAGCAGAAGGCTGTGAAAACCAGTGTGAAATTTATTCCGAGTCAGTTCTCAAAACCCATTTAAATCAAATTAATCTGCTAGTTTAAAAAAAAATCCAGCCAGTGTTTAGATGAATACAAGAACCAAATCAAATGATGCAAGACAATGTATTGCAATGGACAGCATCCACATGAAACACTATTGTGAAAGAACTTTTGAGTGTTAGTGGTAGGCTGTAAAATTAACAATTCAGAAAAAGATTGGCTTTAGATGGACTGATGAATGAAAATTGGAATCCCTCAAACAACAAGTGAGACACAGATGGGAATGACTTACATATAGGTATACAAAACTGTAACAAAATCAACAGATAAGAGAGTTGTACGAGTGCAGAGTCACGATGTCACTATAGTAGTCAGACTTTAATAAGCTGCCAATTAGCTGCTATGATTCATCAATCACCTCAGTGTGCAAAATATTTTATGAATGAATCAGCTGGGGTGGGGTGGGAGTTAAGATTCAATTTTATTTTCTGTTTGGTCATTCTTTAAAATACTTAAAATGGCACTGCTCCTGATTTCAGAGTTAGGATTGTTTCTAAGTAAATGAGACACAAATTATGGTCTTTTTGTTTTAATGCTTTTTAATATTGTGGGGGCTGAAATAATAAAGAACTGTTTTGAAAGACTGCTACATGTTCTGAAAAGCAAATAACCTGATAATTATGGCAAGCAGTACATAAATAGTTGTTTGAACATGCAGTAATTGAAGTGGTTGCAGACAAATTGAAGCTGAGGAGTTCTGTGTACACTTGTAGGCGGGTGGCAATAAGTTGTTGGTCTCTGGACTAGTGACTGGTTATCGATTACAAAAGCCTTTTGCTTGCCAACCACTGCATAATTTGTTCTCAGGTAACTGAATAGCTTGGGCATGTGAATACGATAGAGAGAGGTGTTTTGATTTCCACCAGCACTGAAGTTCTCTGTTGTCTGCAGTCAAAACCCATTTTAAACCTAAAAATAAAGAATTCATCTTTCCGTCAACAGTTGTTCTAAACCTTAATTTCTAACTGACAATTCAGACCTTTTATAAGTAAACCTTGGGTGTCTTACAAACCAGAGAAAACACCCAGAGAAAAAACAACTGAGAAGTAATTTTCTGACCAGTGTAAGAATGATCTTAGCAATTTGTGAATAGAAACCACTGAAGTGCTTTCCAGCTTTCCCTTGCCCATAACCTAATTTCCCTGTCTGTTGTTTATCTAAGTATGTTTGCAAAGGGATGTTTATAAGGTGATCAGACTTTTAATCTGTAGTATTCTATTCCAACAAAATCTAATCTTGTATGAATAGTAATTCTCTTTAAGTACAGAAACTTGGTCCGTGCTTTCCATCAACCTGGTTTCAAAATCAAGTAACTTAGGATATTTTGTGTATCTATTTTAAAACCTTTAACTCCGGGAAGAGAAAAGCCTATTTCCAGCAGGCTAATGCGGTGAGTTGCGATAATGGATAAATCTATTAAAAGCCTTTTTAAACACACGGGTATTTTTTGGAGTAAACTGCATCTTCATAGAATAGAATCTCACAGAATCCCTACAGTGTGAAAACAGGCCCTTTGGCCTAACAAGTCCACAACGACCCTTGGAGCATCCCACCCAGACCTCACCCCTTATAACCAACCTAAGCTACACATTCCTGAACACTATGGGCAATTTAGCATGGCCAATCCACCTAACCTGCACATCTTTGGACTGTGGGAGGAAACCGGAGCACTCAGAGGAAACTCATGCAGACACGGGGAGAATGGGCAAACTCCACACAGGCAGTCGCCCGAGGGTGGAATTGAACCTGGGTCCCTGGTGCTGTGAGGCAGCAGTGCTAACCACTAAGCCACCATGTCACCTAAAAGATTTGTCAACTCTAATGGAGAGTGGAGTCATAACTGAAAAGTTCAGATTTATCAGTTGAAAAAAAGGGAAAACTAAGATTTTAATGGTTTTAAAGGGTGGGTAGGTTAAAGAGTACTCCATTCCTACAAACATACAAATCAGAAGTAAGCCATTCAGTCCTTTGAGTCTGCTGTCATTCAATAAGATCACGGCTGATCATAACAAGATCTTAAATTGACATTCCCACCTTCTCCTGATAACCTTTTACCCTTGCCTCATTACCATCTATCCACCTCTGCTTTAAAAATATTCAAGGACTCTACCTCCACCACCATTTCCAGGGAGAATCCTAAAGACTCATGACCCTCTAAAAAGAAAAAAAACTCACTTCATCTGTGTCTTAAATAGGTGACCCCTAATTTTTAAACAGCGACCCTGAGTTATAGATTCTCCCATAAGAGAACATACCGTTTCCACATGATTCCTCAGGATTTTATGTTTCAATCAAGTTGCCTCTTATTCTTCTGAACTCCAGTGGATACAAGCCTCGTCTGTCTAAACTCCATTAGACAACACTCCCATTATGGGTGTTAGCCTTGTCTGAACTACCTCCATTTACATCCTTCCCTAGATAAGGTGATCAATACTGTGCACAGCACTCCAGATCAGTCTCATCAGTCTCTTGTTTAATTGGAACATAACCTCCCTACTTCTGCATTTAATTCCATTTAACACCATTAGATTTCTTAATTACTTGCAGCATCTGAATACTAACCTTTTGCAATTCATAAATGCAGGCACCCTGAACTCTGCAATCTCTCACCATTTAGATAATGCTTTTTCAAAAATTCTTGACAAATTGGACAACTTCACATTTTCCCACATTATGTTCCATTTGTCCCATCTTTGTCACAGAGCCTATCAACCTTTTTTATAATCTCTGTAATCTGAAGAAATAATGGACAGGACAAACTATGAAGTGTTAGATATTTACATATAATACAGGGAAGGGGGAAAATAAAGAAAACTAAAAGGCCTATTAATATAAGAGCAGTTTCTCTCCCCTTTTAAAAAACCTCCTCAAATCTGATCTATTCTGTAACAAAAACAGAAACTGCTGGCAAAACTCAGAAGGTACAGCCGCATCTGTGGGAAGAAAGCAGAGTTAACATTTCGAGTCTGGTAATTTTTATCAGAACAGTTCTAATGAAGAGTCAATGGACTCAAAACGTTAACTGTGCTTTCTTCCCACACGTTATCAGAGCTGCCAAGTTTCACCAGCCGTTTCTGTTCTTGTTTCAGATCTCCAGCATTCACAGTTCTTTGCTTTATTTTTCTGATCTATTCTGTCTTGCTTTATACCCTCTATTAGTTAGCATCTGTTCAGCTGTATGTTTCAATTGTGGAGTATCTTCAAACAATTTATGTTAAAAGGTATTTTATAGAGGCAACTATTATTAACGTTGCACAACATCACATCTTGGACATAAATATAAATTGGTCAAGAGAGGAGGAAAATAGTCATATTCAAAAAGGGTGACTATTGTTTGGAATTCTGAGGATGGTGCAAATTGTACCTCCTCATCCAGCATCCTCCATGTTCGACACCCACAGTGCTTCTAGTTTTCCCTGTACTCGCATCTGGTGGCTCCGCATCAATCTTTATTTCTGATACTTTTTTGTTATACTTATAAAAGCGTGGTTAGTAAGTTTGCGGATTACACCGAGATTGGTGGTAAAGTGGGCACTGAAGGCGGTCATCGAAGATTATAAAGAGATCTTGATTTATTGAGTCAATAGGCTAAAGCGTGGAAATTGGAGTTTAATTTGGATAAATGTGAGGCATTTCATTTTGGTAAAACAAACAAAGACCAGACATATACAATTAAAACTAGGGCTTTGGGTTGTGTTGTAGAACAGAGAGACCTAGGAATTCAGGTACATAATTCTTTGAAGTTTGCATCAAATAGTGGTTAAGAAGGTGTTTAGCATGCTTGCCTTCATTGCTCAGACCTTGGAGTACAGGAGTTGGAACATTAATTGAGGTTGTGCAGGACATTAGTGAGGCCTGTTCTGGAATACAATGTCCAGTTCTGGTCTCCCTATTATAGAAATTATATTATTAAGGTAGAGAGGGTTCAGAAGAGATTTACCAGGAATGTTGCTGGGAATGAAGGGTTTGAGTTATACGGAGAGGTTGGATAGGCTGGGAAATTTTTTCATTACAGTGTGGGAGGTTGATAGGTGACTTTATAGAGGTTTATAAAATAATGAGGGTTATAGATAGTGAATGGAAAGTGTCTTTTCCCTATGATGGGACATCTCAAGACTAAAAAGGGGCATATTTTTAAGGTGAGAGGAGAAAGATTTAAAAAGTACGAGGGGCATTTTTTTAAAAAACACAGTGGTTCGTGTGTGGAATAAACTTCCAAAGGAAGTGGTGGATGCGGGTATATTTACAACGTTTGAAAGACATTCAGATAGTTACATGAATGAGAAATGTTTGGAGGGATATGGGCGAAGCGCAGGCAAGTGGGACAAATTTAGTTTGGGATTACAGTCGGCATGGGCTGGTTGGACGGATGGGTCTGTTTCCATGCTGTATGACTCGGAGTCAATGAATCTATGAATTCTCTTTGTGTTATCCATTAGACATACGATTGCTACAAGTCAAGATGAGGCCTTTACTCAGTTGTGGAATAAAATCTTTGTACATTAAATGTACTTTGTATTTTTGTTGGCTGAAAAGGTTCCATCAGGGCTTCAATCACTGACTACGGCACTAAGAGTAACTTGTATTCGATTTAGGATTGTTTTAATCCTGACATGTAACCTCCAGTACTCTAGCATGTTCTCCAGTCTGGCAACGGCCCAGTCCCAATGCTCCCAGATTAAGAACGTGCAAACTCATTTACACATGGTTTCACTACCGCATACTCCTAGCGCACGTCCAGGCTATCGAAAACAAAATGGACGAATTCAGACCTAGACTTATCTTTGAGTGAACGGAGGGATTGCTGTGTGCTCTGTTTCACAGAGACATGGCTCACTCCTGCCATACCTGATGCGCCTTGCAAGCTGAGGAGTTCTCCATACACCGCATGGACTGCACGGTGTCCTCAGGTAAGGCAAAGGGCAGAGGGGTATGCTTCCTAATCAACACCTCCTAGTGCTCAGATATGGTGACCCTAGCATGCCATTATTCCCCAGTTAGAGTACCTTACACTAAAATACTGTCTCTACGATCTGCCGCGCAAGTTTACCTCTGCCTTCCTAATAGCAGTTTACATACCACTCCAGGCGGATGAGAGAACGCCCTGGATGAAATTTACACCTCCACAAACACTCCGGAGACGAATTTCCCCGAGGACTTATTTGTTGTGGATGAAGACTTCAACCCGGCCAACTTTAAGCGGGCACTGTCAAAATACCACCACTAACACATCTCCTGCCCAACGGAGGGCTGAACGTCCTGGACCACTGCTACACAACCAAAGATGCCTACCGCTCCATCCCCTCCACACTTCAGAAAATCAGATCACAACCCTGTGTTCCTCCTCCCAGCCTAGAAGCAGGAGCTGAAATGGCAGGATTCTTCACAGAAAGTAATACAATGCTGGTTCAAAGCAGCGGACGACGGTCTCCAGGACTGCTTGGAATTGATGGACTGGACCACTCAGGCACTCAGCGGAAGATCTAGACGAGTACGCCATTACCGTCATGGCCTTCATTAGCAAACGTGTGGAGGGCTGCACGCCGAAGAGGTTAATCTGGATGTTCCCCAACTGGAAACCTTGGATGAACCGGGAAATCCACTGCCTACTGAAGATCAGGTGTGTGGCATTCAAGTTGAATGACTCAGCCCTATACATAGAATCCAGATATGAACTCCACAAAGCCATCAGAGATGCCAAGAGGCAGTACTGGACCAAATTAGAGGCTCAAACCAACCATATGGACACTCGCTGCCTGTGGCAAGGCTTAAATAACATAACAGGATACAAAATGAAGCAGAGCAAGACAGCAGACAAAACACATCACTCCCTGATGCTTTCTATGCTTGGTTCGACCAGGATGCCAGTGGCACAGTGGCACAGTGTCACATGCCCAGATGCACCTATTCCCTCCGTCACCACTGCAGGTGTCAGTTCGGCCTTCCGGAGGGGCAATCCAAGGAAAGCGATGGGCCTGGACAGAGTCCTCGGCCATGCACTTAGATCCTGTGCAGACCAGCTGGCAGAGGTATTCACCGACATCTTCAACTTCTCCCTCCTACAAGCCAAAGTCCCCACCTGCTTCAAGAAGACCACCATCATCCCAGTACCAAAAGAAAGCACATGCAACCTGCCTTAATGACCACCGCCCAGTGGCTCGGACCTCCATAATCATGAAAGGGTCAAGAGGCCAGTCATGGCCTGCATCAACTCAAGCCTTCCAGCCTGCCTTGATCCCCTGCATTTTGCCTACTGACATAATAGGTCCACAGTGGTCGCCATTTCCCTAGTCCTGCACTCATCCACGGAACATCTGGACAAGGATACCTATGTCAGACGCCTGCTCATCGACTATAGCTCAGTCTCCAACACCATTATCCCCTCCAGACTGATCTCAAAACTCTGAGACCTAGGTCTCGGTTCTGCCCTCTGCAACTAGATCCTCGACTTCCTGACCCATAAACCACAAATCAGTGAAGATAGACAACTTCACCTCCACCACGATAACCCTCTACACTGGAGATCCCCCCCCACCCAAAAGGATGCATTCTTAGCCCCCTACTGTACAGGGACTGCGTAGCCAAATTCTGAACAAATGCAACTACAAGTTTGCTAACGACACCACCCTGGTAGGGCAGTTATCAAACAATGATGAGTCAGAATACAGAAAGGCGATAGAGGACTTGATGTCATGTTGCAATGATAACAACATCTCTCAATGTCGGCAAAAGAAAAGAACTGATCATTGACTTCAGGAAAAAAAAGGACACACCCCTATTGACATCAACAGAGTGAAGGTTGTGAGAGTTGAGAGCGTGAAGTTGCTAGGAAGAACGATAACTGACCTGTCCTGGACTTCCCAAGTAGATGCGACGGTTAAGGTGGCACAGGAACGCCTCTTCTTCAGCTTAGGAAATTTGGCATGGCCATAAGGACTCTCATCAAGTTTTACATAAAAAGTATACTGTCCATAAAGCAGAATGGCCTGATATGGCAACTGCTGTGCCCAGGACCGTTATGAAACTACATAAGGTAGTGTGCACAGCCCAGACCGTCACGGAAGCCAACCTTCTACCCACGGACTCTGATTACACGGTTCACTGCTGCGGAAAGGCTGCCAACATCATCAAAGACCCATTGCACCCCGATAATACTCTCCTACAACCTCTTACATCAGACAGAAGATGCAGAAGCTTTGAACACACGCACCAACGGATTCAAGAACAGCTTCTTCCCTGTGGTTATTAGACTGATGAAAGAATTCTCCAACTTCAAATCATGTTGATCTTGCTTCATGCACATCCTGTGCATTGTAATCCGTATGCCTCACTCTGTCTAAGCCCCCTATCATCTGTATGAAATAAAAACCGAAAGAACTGTGGATGCTTTAAGTCAGAAATAAACACAGAAATTGCTGGTCTGGCAGCCTTTGTGAAGAGAAATCAGAGTTAATGTTAACAGTTCTGAGGAAGGGTCACCAGACCCGAAACATTAACTCTGATTTCTCTTCACAGATACTGCCAGACCTGCTGAGCTTTTCCAGCAATTTCTGCGTTTGTCTATGATCTGTCTGTCCTGCTTGCAAACAAAGCTTTTCGCTGTACTTAGGTACACATGACTACAATAAATCAAATCAAACCTGTAGCTGATATCAAAAGCAAGTTAGTTGGCCATGCTGGAGAGATGACATCAGTGGATCTAACAAAATTTCTCCATCCTCGGCCACTCATGGGACTTTTATACTATCTGTCTAGGCTGGATTTATCTTCAGCTTTGGACAAAATGCAGCAATTCTCCTAACCCCTCATCAGAGATAATCAATTTTCTTAAAAAATGAACATCTCAAAATACATACTAAATACTGGGTGAACAGCAGTGTTTTTAGCCAGTCTTCATAGTAAAAAAATGTTCACTTCTGTAAACATCTCATTTCATAATGGATACATTTTTAAAAATAATTTTTAGCTTAGGCATTGACTTTACATTTGAATGCAAGGAACTGTGAAACTGGTAATCTGGGGTTAACAATTTGAAGGGTAAGTTGTGTTTATTTAAAAAGATCAGAATTAGAAGCGGAAAAAAAATAACTTAAAACAGATGACACACCTCTTATGGAGTTTTTGCTTTGAACTGAAGAACTACAGTTACTTCAATAAAAAAATTAATTATTTGTATAGTTCCCAGATCAAAGCAGCTAAAAGCATCTTTGCTGTGGTTGGTTCGCTCACCGAGCTGGTTCATTAGTTTGCAGACGTTTCATTACCCTGCTGGGTAACATCATCAGTGCAGCCTCCAATGAAGCGTTGTTGTATTTTCCTGCTTGCTACTTATACTCTGGGTTTTTCTTTGCAGTGGTGAGTACATAGGGTCTAATTCTATGTCTTTATTGATGGCCTTCTTGGTGAAAAACTAGGCCTTTAGGAATTCCTGTGCTCGTCTCTGTTTGGCCTGTCCTAAGGTCCTGACGTCCCAATCAAACTGGTGATCTTCCTTGTCTGTACGTATGGAGATGAGTGAGTATCAATCATGTCTTTTTGTTGCCAGTTGGTGTTCATGTATTCTCGTAGCCAGTTTTCTTCCTGTCTGTCCAATGTAATGTTTGTTGCAGTCCTTGCATGGAATCTTGTATATTACGTCGGTTCTGTCCATAGTAAGTAAGGGCTCCTTGGTTCCTGTTAGCAGTTGGTGTAGGGTTGATGTAGGTTTGTGTGCCACTCTGATGCCCAGTAGTCGTAAGGGTCTCGTGGTCAGTTCAGATACGTTTTTGATGTATGGTAACGTGACCAGTGTGTCGGGGCGTACTTCCTGTTGTGGTCTGTGTGACAGGCATCGTCGGACCCAGCTGTTCGGGTATCCGTTGTCTTTAAATACTTGGTGGAGGTATTCTTCTTCATTTTGGCGTAGTTCTGGGTTGCTGCAGTGTGTTGTGGCTTGTTTGAACAGTGTTTTCATGCAACTCAGTTTGTGGGTGTTGGGATGGTTACTGTTGAAATTTAGGACTTGATGCGTGTGTGTGGCCTTTCAGTATATCTTGGTCAGACCCTACATACACACTATTGCAAAGAAAAACCGGAAAAGGAGGTAATCAACTCCAACGGACCCCAGAGTTTAAATACCAGGTGGGAAAATACAACAACGTTTCATCGGAGGCTACACTGACAGAGTTACCCAGCAGGGTGATGAAATGTCTGCAAACTAATGAACCAGCTCGGCGAGCAAACCAACCACACCATCCACAACCCGAGCTACAAATCTACTCAAGAGTATTGAAAGCATCTTTGGAAATAAGGAGATTTCTTGGTGGAACCATCAGTTCTGGGAAGTTGCTCATTAAATTGACTAGAGATAGGAATCCTCATGCGGTCCCAGAAGGAAAGGATTATTTTGCAGGCAAAGATGATTAATTTCCATTTCTGTTGGGAGCATCCAGAGCATGCCATGTTGCCACGGAGATGAACCGAGGGGGAATAGAAAGGCTCCTTTTTTCAAAAATAAGTTATCAACGTGCTTTTTCTAACAGAAAACAAGCAGTTCAAGAAGATTCAGCCAAAGCCGTAAAGTGGCTGTGGGAGCCTTTGCACTTTGATGAAATTACATTAAGAAGTTTAAAAGAATCTCACATAACATTCATCACACAAGTCTCGAGTCTTACCACTGAATTGCCCACTGGTTAAGCCTCTGTTGACGGACTTTTTCAAAGAAGGCCATAGGAGTATCCTCCACCGAGTGAAGAGAGTCCCAATAACTGCACACTTCTGTGCTCTGCAGAACTGGGTGACCACTGTATAACTGAGAGACACACCAATTCAGGATCAACCATGTGCCCAAATCTTAATGTTACTTGTCTGTTCTCCACTTACCCATTTCACCAGCTCCCTCCTTATTCCATAAACTAATGACCCATCTCTTTTCCACACATACGCTCGACCTCATCCCACTTCATGAGCTCTACCCAAACCATCCAGACTCTCCCCAAGTAAAGTAAAATGCAGCAAATTCCCGACTGTAATAAAGCACTGCAGAAGTTACTGCCATTGCAAGATGAGATTTGGATTTGCAGCTCTTTCATCTTATACCATCAACCAAGATAGAAAAGAAACAAGCAATTAAATCAGAAGTTCAAATATGAAATAGATTGCACAATTCCATACCAGACTGTTCATAAAGGATAACTTTAATCTGTAAATCTGCCAAGGGAAATAAGTAAAACATCAACCCCCATGTCACCCACAAGGTTCATCAGCTTATACATTTACTGGTTCTTATTTCCCTCAACTCAGGAAGGGCACTGTAACTCTGAAACTAAGCGCTGAGAAAGATTTAGTAATTGCTGCTGGCAGAACCAGGGCACAACCACATACAAAGAAGAAGCAGGGCATGACATTGTACAGGTTTACTTTTCTCAGATTGATCCTGAGCCATAGTTCAGGCATTCAGAAAAGATGGTGAAGACTTGTGCTTTTTTCCAAAACAGTTTGTAAGGAACACATTATGTAGGTATTTATCACGTGGGCATGAAATCACTTGAAGGAAGGGATAAGTAGCAGTCCTGTTTAAGCACAAACAAATCCTGGTAGTTATTTTAATTAAAGCAACTTTAGAGAAGGTTATGACACATCTCTTGGGCAGGTAGGACTTGAATCTGGGCCTCCTGCTCCAGGGGTAGGGAAATAAACTCTTGCATCTTTTACCATTTAAATTTACAATTGTACAGATTAACTTATTCACCTGTCCTTAATGTCCTTGATTCGTTAGCTGCCAATTGCAGTGGTCAACACCCAAACTAGCCGTCTGGGAGCTCTGGCAGTAAAGCAGTAAAATTCCTGCCTACAGGTTTCTGGACAGAACACAAGACCTCATTACAAAGCACGCATTGTCAAAATATCAACGGCATACTTTGGAAGTGACAATTTCCACACGCAGGAACTGGAGTATGAATTTTAATCAGGCACTAGACTCGTAGTCAACACTTAGCTGATCCTGATGCAGCATCAATAGGAACAGTAGGACAGTACCTGTGCCGACAGCAACATGTGTAATTGGATACGCTAATCACTCCTGAAGTAGAACAGGGATGTTTAAAAAAAAAACCTGTATTGACTGACCTGAGTTAGGAATGGCAGAGTAAACTCTCTCTGTGCAACCCATTCTTCTGCCCCATCTGTTATTATGACAGGTAGATTCTGACGTAGATAATTCTGGAGAACAACTTTTGGATCTACTTTGCGCAGAAATTCCACTTTTGGATATCGTTGACACACCTAAACAATTTGATACACAAACATTCAGCTTAAAAAACAAACTGTAACAACAAAATAGGACAGGCAAGTAATTCCCCATATTAGATTATGGCTGATCATTTACCTCAATACCACTTTCCTGCACTATCTCCATAATCCTTAAAGCAAATATTCTGCAGAAGTCTCTCAATTTTTTTCTTGAGCACGCTCAAGAATTCAGCTTTCACTGCTGTCTGGGATTGAGAATTCCAAAGATTCAGCACTCTCTGAAGCAAAGAAATTCTTCCTTATCTCAGTCTTAAATGACAGTTATCCTGAGGTTGTATTCCCTGGTTTTAGATTCACCAACGAGTGGCAACATTTTATTTACATCCAGCCTGTCACACTCTAAGAATTTTGTCAGTTTCAATGGGATCAGCCTTTTTCATTCAAAACTCAAGAGAATACGGTGTCCTCAATCTCACCTCAAAACAATACAGCCATGCCAGAGATTGACATGGCGACTGTCTGCTGCCCTGCCTCTGTGGTGAGGATACTCCCCTCCAAACTGCATGTGATACAAAGGAGTCCTCACCAAAGCTCGATACAACTGCAGCAAGACATGTACGCTCCTGTACTCAAAACTCCGTGCATTGGAGACCAACATACCATGTGCCTTCCTAATTGTTTGTTGCAAATACACGCAAACTTTAAGTGATTTGTGAACAAAGACAACCAGGTCCCTTTGGACGTTCTTACTTCCTAAACTCTTACACTTTATGAAATAGTCTGTCATTTGTTTTTCCACTAAAATGAATAACTTCACATTTACATTATCTTTAATCTGCCATGTTCTAGATCATTCATTGTCCAATGCCTCTTGAAGCCTTGTTACATCCTCAACTTGGGTTCATATACAGTTTGGTGTCATCAGCAAAACTTGGAAATATTACACTCTGTCCCCACATCCAAACCATTCACATAGATTGTTAACATTTGTGAGTTAGCACTGATCCTTGCTGTACCCTATTCGTTACAGCCTGCCATCTGAGAATAATCCATTTAATTCTACTCTCTGCTTTCTGACTATTTGTTAATTTTTAATCCATGCTAGTACATTCTCCATAGCCCATGTGCTCTAATTTTATTTATCAACCATATCAAAAACCTTCTGAAAAATCTAAATACACCACATCTCCTCACTCATTCTCCTTTATCAAGATTACAAGTCATATTAAAATAAATTCCCAAGTTTGCCAAATATGACTTTCCTTTCTTAAATCCATGTTGACTCTGCCAATGTTACAATTCTTTTCTATATATCTATAATAATTTTAACATTTTCCCCACTATTGACCTCAAACTAATAGGTGTGTTGTTCTCTATTCTCCCCATTTCTCTCTTCCATACCTATTGCCACAACAATACCTGTCTGTTCCTTTAACTAACAAATCCTCTAAAAGATCTTCCTTTCTTTGTCCTCCACTCCAGTACAGCCAAAGCACCCATGCTACCATGAACTTGGCTGTCATTGCACCCCTCTGAGAAACCAATGCTGTCACCAGTATCCAAAGCAGCAAGCCAATTAGAGAGCAGGACCACAGGGAACTCCTACACTATCTGCTTAGTTGTCTGGGCTGCCTGCCAGTCACCCATTCCTTTCTGCCTCTATGTTCCTTGCCTGTAGTGTGATCACCTCTCTGAACATGCTGTTAGCCTTGCAGATTATCTAGTGTCTCCAACTACCACTTGAGCTCCAAAATCGGCACTCAAGTTTCCATCGCTGATGACACTTCTTACACACGTGGTCTAGGTCCCCAGTAATCCATGATTTTCCACATAATACCGGACACATGTTCCACGTGACCAAACTGCTCTACCATGCCACAACCTTACTTCACACATTAATATAAATAAATCAAGGTAAAATAAAGTTACAGTTTTATTTGCCTCAACTTAACACAACTTTAGAACTACTGATAAATGCAACCTAATATTTAGCACATTGCTTGCAATGAACCTTAAAAAAATTACACTATGTACCAAACTCCCACATAAACTTAAATTCGCTATGTCTCACTCAAAACATAATACTCCGATTGTGTGCTCCTTATTGAATGTACAGCTTGAAAAACCTGTCTCTTATGTTGAGTCCCTGATGAATCACTGGCAGTTTAACTTCCTGCTGCATTAATTAACACAAATTGAATCAACTTTTCTTAGCTGATTGATAGATGTTTGCTACTAGTTGGCAGAACCCTTTTCAACAGTGCATTAACTTCCTGGAAGGTTATTAGTTCTATGTCAAAGCCTGACTCTCAATCTATATCTAAACAAGAAAAGGACTTACCTGAACACACCACATTGCTACTTGTCCTGTCTACATCTAACTCACGTGCACAGTCACCTGAATACACACCCCTTAAACACAAACTTCTATCTACAAAAGTTTTTCTTCAAATTCTTTGTAAAAGCTCCAACTCCTATTAAAATATATAGCTCACAAAAGGTAGGAATCCTTCAAGTAGATACAGAAAGCTACGCCGACAGTATAGATAAGTGGCACAGCTGAAGTGCCTCACACTTTGCTGAGCCTAATGCTCACACCAGATCTTTGTGACCTCATCTGTCCAGCAAATAGCAACAGTAGTTCCTTGAGCCATCTGGTAAACCCCTGTTCTTAAAATAATAATAATTTACCACAAATTAAATAAAGCAAACTCATTTGAATTTTCCTTCACTGTTGAGTAAATTTCATATTAAAACATAAGCCTATGTCAAAGGAACTTTGTTTCTTCTTTCTACTTGCATAGCGTGCTAACATCAACATAGCTCACCTGCATTATCGGTATGAGACAGTGTAGTTGACAGAAATTTATCCGACAAAAATCACCTAACTATTATTCAGTCCTGTCTCTTAATTGTGTTTAAACACTGGTGAAACTTGGCTTCAAAGGATAGGCCCGAGTGTAAATGACATTTGTGGTACATATAAGTTGTGATCCCAATTCAGCATTATAAAGGCCCTCAAGGAATAACTTTAGAAAGTATTGCCACAGTGCTTGTTCACTCACAGTGATGCAGTCTGAGAGCTGCAAAGACTCAAGGCCGCTCTCAAAGTAATAAGGGTTCCTGATCAGGCAGTCAGTATTGGAATATAACGTCCAGTCCCAGTAAGGCAGTAACTGAAGATAAGAACAAATACATTTCATTAAAAAGAAATTGCCATCATTCAGGAACATGGGATGTAAAAGCTAGAAAGTTACATTCAATCTCAATGGTTAGGACTGAGCTAGAACATTCTTCCCAATTCTGGGCACCAGTTAAGGAAGGATATCAAGGCCTTGGAGACAGTGAAGAAGAATTTTCTTTGAATGGTATCTGTGATAAGAGATTTGTTAGTTAGATGCTGGATATTTTTTGCATTGCTCTCCTTACAGCGGACAAAGAGGAGGATTTAATGGAGCAATCATGACCAGTTTTAATAGAGGAAAAAAGGAGAAATTGGTTCTCATGCCAGAAGGGTCAGTAACCAGAGGGCACAGATTTAATGTAAAGAACCAGAAATGATGTGGGCAGACACCTCCCAGAAAAGCAAGTGTGCAGTGTGAAAGGGTGGGTAAAACAGAAGAATTTGTGAAAGGAAATTGGATAAATGCCTGAAGGAGAAAGACTTGAACACACAGGAAGAAATTAAGGGGTGTCAAACTAGTTCAGAGAAGGACAGAATCCCTACAGTATGGAAGCAGGCCATTTGACCTATTGAGTCCACACTGACCCTCTGAAGAGCATCCCACCCAGACTCACCTCCCTACCCTATCCCTATAGGCCTGCATTGCCCATTGCTAACCCACCCAGCACATCCCTGGATACCATGGGCAATCGGACTCCTACATCTTTTGACTGTGGGAGGAAACTGCAGTACCCAGAGGAAACCCATGCAGACAATCGCCCAAGGCTGGCATCGAACCTGGGTCCCTGGCGCTGTGAGGCAGCAGTGCTAACCACCGAGCCACCATGCTGCCCCTTCTAGGAAACAGCCGACACAAGCATGAAACAAGTGCTGTACAATTGTGGGGCTGAAAGTAACATATTTATTCCAGACAAGAACTTCCATCTTGGAAGACTAAATTTACGAACTCCACTTGAAACTGAGCCCCAAAACAAATGGGAGGTTCTGATCAGACAAAGGCTGCGTGGATGTTAAGCCCAAAAGACTTAGTGTATCAAAACAAACACTCCATCCTTAAGAGATAGTCACTTAAGTTGCTTCCACACAAGAGAAGGGGAGGAACTGTACATAGATGCTTTTCTCTCTGTTTGGGGAAAGAGGGAGGGGAGACAGAATGGATTACTTTGTGCAGCCCTGGAAGGTGCTTGGGGTATTAGATCCCCATCAGTCCCGCTGAGAATTTACGGCGTTTCTTAGAATCTCAACCAAATGCATATATTTAAAGGTTTTGTCACTGCAAATCTGTACTGGGGTGGAGGCAGACACTGACCTGAATGAGCAAAGCCCGGCCGCAGTAACTCAGAAATCTGGAGCCGGGGCGGCTGCAGAGCAGGATGCAGCCGAGTAAGAGTAGGACTCCAGCTGCGAGAGCGAGCCTGCCCCGGGCCCGGCTGCCGCTGTGGCGTCTCGGGGGTGTGCAGCACCGGAGCAGGGGCTCCATAAGCCGGCAGTATTCGGGGCCGGAGGCAGGGAGAACCCGGCGCTGGTACAACCTCTCGAACTCGCCGTCGAAATAGGAGACCTTCCTGGAGAAGGGCAGGGAGCGCAGCCCTAACCTGTTCCGTCCCCTCCGAACCCCCATCTCTGCTTCCCGAGCCTCCTGCCGAGATCAGAAACACTCTCTTAAAGAGGAATCTACCCCCCCCACCACCACCCCAAATCCTCCAGCTCTAACCAACCCTTCTCCTCAAAACCACCCAATATGAAGGCAAAAACAAAATTACACAGCAGCACGTATTTGTTTACTAATGATAGATTCTGGTAATAATAACTTGCATTTATATAGCGCCTTTACGATACCGAAGCATCCCAAAGATTTTCTGGGACCTTTCTCCAAGCGAAATTTGAAACTGCTGATTAAGATTTTTTTTGTTGGTCAAAGAGGTAGGTTTTAAGGGGACACCTTAAAAAGGAAGGGATGGAGAATTGGCTACTCCAGTCTTTTCCTGGTCGACTCTCTACTACCGTCTAACACGTAAGGTTATCCAAAATTGCGGGGACAAAGTACTCATTTACTTCTGTGCTCTGTCAGGCACATTATGCCCAGGTCCTGCACTCCTTGATTTTAAAAATGACTATCTGCGTTTTCGACTGCAAGACCGGGGTAATGAAAGGCCTTTTGTAAATGCACGGCCATTTCCCTTTAAATCGGTCAACAACAACTTGCATTTATATAGCTCCTTTAGTAGTAACATACTGTCCAAGGCATTTTCCGGAAGTATTATCAATCGAAAATTTGTTTCAGTACCAAGCAAAAACGTAAGAGGAAGCGGTCACCAAACGTTTGGTCAAAATTACTGTAAAGAACATCCGAAAAAGTGAGCACAGTGCTTTGAGGCATAAAAATTTGGGGGTGGCATTCAAGCCCATTAGGCTTAAGCAACTAAATGCATAGTTACTGGTGGTGGAGCAATCACTATCAGGTTTAAACAAGGCACCATAGTTGCAGAAGTGAAAAGATCTTGGGAAAAGGTGTAGGTGAAAGACTGGAGGAAGTACAGAAATAGCGATGAGTTAAGCTATGGAGGGATCTGAAAACAAGGATGAGAATTTTAATATTACAAGTGATAATAACTAGTTCCCTAACATGGTTTGTTTCGTACATGTTAATTCAGTGTCATACTGACAAGTTAAAATCTTAGTGTGTTGTTGTTAGCTTACCCTAACTAGAGGAGGGTATTATCAGAGGTATCTCCTTTTTTCCATTCCTCAGGTGTTGGTATAAGTGGTTGTGGTGGCATTTACTGCTCATGCCTAGATGCATGTGAGAATGTGCTGATGAACTAGCTAGATCCACAAGGCCGTTGGGGAGGGAGTTCCAGTATTTTGACCTAGCAACACTGAAGAATCAGTAATATATTTCCACAACAGAATGGCCAGTGGCTTGAAGGGGAATATGCAAGTGATGGTGTTTGTACGTTTCTGCTGTCTTTGTACTTCTCTATGGCAACGTTTGTGGATTTAGAAGGTGCTATTTAAGGAGTCATGGTGAATTTCTGCAGTGCATCTTGTGGATGGTATCCAATGCTGCTACTAAGCATTGGTGGTGGACGAACTGAATGTTGATGTAATGCCAATCAAGGGAGTTGCTTTGTCCTAGTTCATGTCAGGCTTCTTGAGTGATGGAACTATATTCAATCAGACGGGGGGTGGGGGGGCGGTGGGGGGTGCGGGTGCAGTATTCCATCACACCCTGACTTGTACCATAATCAATGGTGGACGTGCTTTGGGGCTCCAGGAGATGAATCACTCGCTGTAGGATTCTTAGTCTCTGACTGACTCCTGTAGCCACTGTATTTATATGCGTAGTCTAGTTCAATTTCTGGTCAAAGTATCCACTGGATGATGATGGTCGAAATTCAATGATGTAATGCCATTGAGGGGATGTCAAGAACTGATGGCTAGATTCTTTCTTGTAAGAGATGTTTATTGCCTGGTATTTGTATGGCACAAATGTTACAATCACTTGTCAGCCCAAGCCTGGATAATGTCCAGGTCTTACTGCATAGCTTCAGTATGAGGAGCCGTGAACAGTTCTGAACATTGTTCAATCATCAGCGAACATTCCACTTTTGATCTGATGAAAAAGGAATGGTCATTGGTGAAATACCTGGTTGGGTCTAGGACACTACCATGAAGAACCCCTGCAGAGATGTACTGGAGCTGAAGTGACTGATCAGTAACAAACAGAACCATCTGATTTTTACCAGGCATGACTTCAACCAGTGGAAAGCTTTTTCCCCCAATTTTGTTAGGACCCCATGATGCCACACTTGGTCATATGCAGCCTCGATATTAAGGGTAGTCACTCTGACCCCACCTTTGGAATTCTGCTCTTTGTTCATGTTTGAACCAAGGACGTAATTAGATCAAAAGCTCAATGGCCAGTTAATGGCCCCAAACTGGGCATCACTGAGCAAGTGCTGCTTGATAACACTGTTGATGACTCGTTCCATCACTTTGCTGATGATCGAATAGATTGACGGGATGGTAATTGGCCAGTTGGATTTGACCCACTTTTTCTTTGGTGTACAGGACATACCTCGGCAATTTTCTACATTATTTGATTGGTGCCAGTGTTGGATAGAGGTAAGGGAAGTTCAGTGCTTAGCTAGGGGTAAGGGAAGTTCTGGAGCACATGTATTCAGTGCTATTGCTGGAATGTTGTCAGGGCACATAGCCTTTGCAGCATCCAGTACATCTGTTTATTGATATCACGTGGAGTGAATTGAATTAGCTGAACACTGACATACGTGATGCTGGGGACTTCCAGGGAGGCTGAGATGAATCATCCACTGGGGACTTCCAGCTGAAGATTGTTGTGAATGCTTCAGCCTTGTATTTTGTACCGGATTTGCCTATCATTAAGGATGGCAATATTTCTGCAGGCCCCTCCTTCCATGATTTATTTAATTGCCCATCATTATTCATGACTGGATGTGGCAGGACTGCAGAGTTTAGATCAGATCTGTTGATTATGGAATTGGTTAGCTCTGTCCATCACTTGTTGCTTACCCTGTTTGGCATTCAAGTAGTCTGGTTCTGTAGGTTTACCAGATTGATACCTCATTCTGAGGTATACCAAGTTCTGCTCCTGGCACACCCTCCTGCACCCTACATTGAACCAGGATTGATCCCCTGCCTGGGAGGGTTATCTTTGGTCCTTCTTATTGGACTGCTCCAATGACCGCTGTCATTTGAGAGTAATGGGAATTGACTGCTCACATTACAAAGGACTTGTTCTGTTCTTTATGTTTCCTCACTACAGGTTCATGGCAGATGTTCCTGATGGATCCAGCTACAGCAGGGATTTCATTACTGTTGCTATAATGCAACAAAACAGCAGAGAAATGGAAGAGGAGCAGATGTGCCAGCAAACACAGAAGCAGCAACAACCTTCGGGAGGTGCCAGGGAGCTTCCACATGGAGTAGTCAGAGCTGAAAGGCCACCAGGAGAGCTAGAGTCTATAATCCTTAATGCCATTTTCCTCCACATAGTAAAGCACACTGTGTGCACACGCTAAGGATGTCCCAGGACACTCTCAGAATTGTGCCAACTGCTACAGCATGAACTGTGACCCGAAGGATTGGCTGACCATCCTATACCAGTCACAAGCTAGACTGTAAATACATCACACTGAGAGGCCCATATCGTAACACAGCTGAGTTCATCAATAGGAAGGCTTCTGTTCCATCAATGAGCAAGTGATCTATGACCACTTCTTAGAAGTTGGTGTATGCTAGCCAAGGATCTGCCATGATCTCTATATCCTTGAGAACTTTCAGCTTCCTGCTGTGTTTAAGGGGACAAGATGTCTTATGAAGGTGGTTACTGGGTGATAAGGGCTACCCTCTCCAACATGGCTAATGACTTCATTATACAACCCCTGACTGAGGCCTAGTGTAGATACGATGCAGCCGATTCTTCAAACAGGGTCACGGTGAAGCAGACGATGGGCCTCCTGAAGATGTAGTTCTGCGACATGTAATATTCTGTGGGGCCTCGAAATTCACACCAGACAGAGTGGGTTGCATCATCCAAACATGCAGTGCTCTGCCAAGGACAAAATATAACAGTTGCTGAGGGAGAGCAGAAACGGCCTTCCAAGGAGGGGGATGAGGACATTGAACAGGAAGAACACCAGTTTTAGCAAGATAGAGCTTAACAGTGATAGTAGGAACTGCAGATGCTGGAGAATCTGAGATAACAAGGTGCAGAGATGGATGAACACAGCAGGCCAAGCAGCATCAGAGGAGCAGGAAGGCTGACGTTGGGTCTAGGCCCGAAACGTCAGCCTTCCTGCTCCTCTCATGCTGCTTGGCCTGCTGTGTTTATCCAGCTCTACACCTTGTTATCTTAGCGCTTAAGTGTCAGGAGCAACAAGACAGGCAGGAATTCATTGGCACCCGGTTCCAGTAGATGAGAGCCGGGTGTAGTGACCACTCATTGCCCGTAAAATTGTTGGTGCTTAACATGCAAGGCATTTGTTTCTGCTCCGAGAGGCAAATGCAGATTCTGTTTGTTTGATTTCTGTTTGCTTGATTTCTGTTTGCTTTTGGTGCTGGTGAAAATTTTGAACTGTCTTAAGACTACCTTGTTTGTGACAGACTCACAGTGAACAATGATGGGCTATGGTGGGCATTGGACGAAAAGTACCAGTGAGTGTTGTAAAAGGGAATGTGGCTAAGGACAGGGAAGCTCTGTCGCCTGGTGGTTAAACAATGATTAAGGTAGGAATGTGCAGTTGCACATCCAAGGAAGTATTAGCCATGCCACCTACGTGCCGTATGTTTGTAGATGCTGTACCACAACATTAATGGTGAAGGGCAGCTCCAGACAGACAGTGCTTGACCAGGTGCGCAGCTGGAAGTCAAAAATGGTGCGTGCACAGGGTCACCATGGCACTATCGAGTGTACCAGACTACTGCGAGAGAGAGATTCAGGCTAGCATCAGATGAGAGGGGAACCGTAGGGGTGTGGTATCTAGTTAATGAGGCAAAGCTGGGGAGAAAACTCACGAGGCCTCACAGAAAGAAACACTGCATGCAACCGGACGAAAATTACCCAGCCAATTTCTGATAA